TTTAATTAAGAATTTGTTTTTATGAAAATATTTATAATCTGGAGTACCTGTACTTGGTAGTAACTATCTCTCAAGATACTTGCAATTGTTGTCTTCAAAAATCAAATTCTGTATAAAACTTAATATCAAAAATTAATAACTGATAGAATTCTTAATATCAAATTTTAAGAACAGATTGAATTTTTAATATCAAAAATTAAGAATTTATTAAATTCTTATTGTCAACTTTAAAAACAACTTGAATGCTTAATATCAAAAATTAAGAACTGATAAAATTCTTATTGTCAACTTTAAAAACAACTTGAATGCTTAATATCAAAAATTGAGAACTGATAAAATTCTTATTGTCAACTTTAAAAACAACTTGAATGCTTAATATCAAAAATTAAGAACTGATAAAATTCTTATTGTCAACTTTAAAAACAACTTGAATGCTTAATTAAGAACTGATTAAATATCAACAATTTAATGAACTGATTTGATGATGATGTGATTAAACGTAAAATTGTGAACTATAATTATTATAATGTTATTGATACTAAAAATCAAGATCTAGATAAATTATTTATATATTGAACATCAAGATCTGAATAAAATTCTTATATTAAAAATCAAGATATGGAAATATAAAGTTCTGATTAAAATCCTGATATTAAAAATCAAGATATATATAAAAATATAAAGATCTGATTAAAATCATTATAATAAAAATCAAGATATTTATAAAAATATAAACATCTGAATAAAATCATTATATTAAATATCAAGATATATATAAAAATATAAAGATCTCAATAAAATCATTATATTAAATGAAAATATAAAGATCTGAATAAAATCATTATATTAAATGAAAATATAAAGATCTGAATAAAATCATTATATTAAATATCAAGATATATATAAAAATATAAAGATCTGAATAAAATCATTATATTAAATATCAAGATATATATAAAAATATAAAGATCTCAATAAAATCATTATATTAAATATCAAGATATATATAAAAATATAAAGATCTCAATAAAATCATTATATTAAATGAAAATATAAAGATCTGAATAAAATCATTATATTAAATATCAAGATATATATAAAAATATAAAGATCTCAATAAAATCATTATATTAAATATCAAGATATATATAAAAATATAAAGATCTCAATAAAATCATTATATTAAATGAAAATATAAAGATCTGAATAAAATCATTATATTAAATATCAAGATATATATAAAAATATAAAGATCTCAATAAAATCATTATATTAAATATCAAGATATATATAAAAATATAAAGATCTCAATAAAATCATTATATTAAATGAAAATATAAAGATCTGAATAAAATCATTATATTAAATATCAAGATATATATAAAAATATAAAGATCTCAATAAAATCATTATATTAAATATCAAGATATATATAAAAATATAAAGATCTCAATAAAATCATTATATTGAAAATTAAGATATGAATGTTCAATTCCTTATAAAGCAATAGAAACCATAATTTTTTTATCTGAAATTTTAAATAAATGACTTGTTGAAATTTATTGATGAAAATTATTTGATGAAGTACATTCAAAACAATTCTATTTATTCTGTATAAAAGATTTAAGTGCGCTTTGACTGTTGAAAACTGATCGATTCATGGAAAAAATATTATTTCTTATATAAAATCCACAATCCGCATTCTAGAGTTGTTGTTTGCAAAATTGCTTTGTTGCATCAGTGAAAATGCTTAAAAGTAGCAAATATGCTTTTTCGCATCAAGGAAATACTGTGTCATGTGATCAAAAAGTGTTTTGTATGAAGGTGAAATGAGATATTTTTAAGATGTGAGAAATGAGTATTTGATATAAAAATAGGTAATAAATAATAACTAGTATGATTAATAGACTGACAACATTCTCTATGTAAGGAATGTGCCAACATCAATTAGTCATGGCTAACTTCTGCTAAATCATTCATCTTTTCTATCACTCCTACTTATCATTCTCCACTAATTATCTATTGTCATTGACTTGCCAAGAAATCAAGATTGGTACTTTGACTATTTATTAGTGGCTAGACTCTCGGTCATGAAAAATGTTTTTTTTCAGTAGATTTTGTTTATTCTACTATCCAAGATACTATGAGGATTAATTAAGATTTACTTTTAAGTTAATTCGTGTTTTGGAATTTATTGTAAGATGTAGATTTTGAAAATGTGGCTAAACTTTTTTGACAAACTTTTCAATTGAGGACATGGCACTAGAACCAGTTGAAATATGTACAAAGAAACAAGGAACACTGTAAATGACCACTTTACTGGAAATGTTTGAAGATAAACTGTGAAATATTTTGGTTCAAATCCATAAATAGAATTTCAGATACCATGGTTAGTGCTTTTTAGAGTCTCGTATTAGTTATATGATTACAAAAAATATTTCTTTGTAGAATCACTCTTCAATTTTTCTTAAAATTTAGAGTTCAAAATGTTCTTTGGATGATTGAAAGCGAATAATAGAATGTTGTATGTGAAAGAAAGGTATGTCAATGTCTATCAGATGTATCAACTAATAAAGTTGTAGAGATAAAACTATTGGTCAGTAGTAAGATAGATGATGATTGACCCTACTCTATCTTATTTCTTATTTCACTCTCTCTAGAGACATCACCTCAACCTTTTACTCTTCTTTAATCAATCTTTAAACTGGAATATCAAGCAACAACGATACACATATTGTAACCTTTTAGTACCAATGTTTTCATGACCAGGAATAGTTGACCAGAGCCTTTTTGAGTTCTTTAAATTTGTCAAAGATATTATTGGAATTTGCAATTTTTTTCCCATTTGACATGTCATAATCTTTTATAAGGAACGGTACTAGGAATGGTTGACCAGTTTGTCGAAGATATAAGATCTCTGGGTTCTACTTGCTGCCGGTTACAGTTCTTAAAAGTTTGAATTCAAACAGGAAATGGTGCTCTATTTCTTTAATTTGATATCTGAATGACATTTGACATTGAAATGTTAGATAAGTCAGGAGCCTTATTCTAGAAAAACTTATAACGTTATAAGTCCTCATCTGATTGGTCAATCTCAAAATTGACTTTAAATTTAATAGTTTTATTGACCAATCAGATGACTGTATTTCTGAAAATGTACATCATTAAGTTTTCGAGTATAAGATCTAAGACTAGCAGCAATAATAGCCTTATTGGAAAAATTCTTCAATTAGAATTCTATTCACACAATGAAAATGAAATTTCGTTGAAGGTACAAATATTTTTTAGTCAGACCTCTGTGGTTCTTGCAATATCACTAAAACAAGTATTTTCTGATGTCGCAAATGCAGCTAATATAATATAAAACCCTTTAAGATCGTGCCGTCATTTTAGTGAAATAACAAGAACTACAGACGTATGACAAATCAATGCTATCAGTATATCCCTGATACACATAAAGACTTTTAAACAACTTCTTTACCATCCCTTTAAATTTGTAAGCTTCAAATTATATTTGTGTAATTTCACTTTGTAAAAGGTGTACTGTCTAAGTATATGTAATATATAACTATACATGTTAAAATAAGTGATATAAAAGTAACAACTGACTACCCCTGTGATTAATCTGTTTTGTCCATCTCGTCTATCAAAGTGTCAATTATTTTACTCTTGTCTCAATACTAAATAAAAACTCCTAGCTCATTTCTTATATTGATAAAGTGTTGGCTGAATCTAATCTCTCCTCAAACTAATTATCCTGATAAAAATGGTTTTTTCTTCCGTCTGCAGTGTGTATAATTGTGTTGAATTCTTGTTAGTCTAAACGGATGTAGGAATTAAAGTTGGTGTAATAAAATGTTACATCTTCCATCTTTGCTGTCTTGCCTCCCATATGAGAATTGTCAGACGGAATTAGAATGTATTTTTATGGATAATTTGGTTTTTATTTATGTTTTATGTTATTGATGGGTGTATTGAAATAGTACACTAGTTGATCAACATCTTGGCATGACTTCCGTCTGTTCATTTTTCAAAGCGAACATTTGTACACTTAACCTGTAAAGTTTTAATTTAACTGCATATTTGATAGACAATTTTTAGAGAGAAATGGTTTTCAAAATTAAGCTTATTGTCATAGCGAATCTGACATTAAGCGAATTTAAAAATGGTTATATTAACTTTGTATGTTTTTAAGGGACAATGACTGCTTGTATTGGTATCATCCTATCATGATTTACTACTATTGTTTATAATGTTATATATTTGAGTACAAGTACAACATGTAGGGAGTTCATAGTTTATTGTTTCTATAGGGAATTTATAAGGGAATTTATACTAAATGTAGGGAATTTATAAGGAAATTTATTCTAAATGAAGGTAATTTATACTAAATGAAGCTAATTTATAAGGGAATTTATGGTTCATGTAGGGAATTTGTAAGGAAATTTATTAATGTAGAGAATTTATAAGGAAATTAATACGGTAGTTCATGCAGGGAATTTACACTTCATGTAGGGAATTTATAAGGACATTTCTAGTTTATGTGGGGAATTTGTAAGGGAATTTATACTTAATGTTTTGTAAGGGAATTTATAGATCATGTAGGGAATAGGGAATTTATAGTTAATGTAGGGAATTTATAGATCATGCAGGGAATTTATAGATCATGCAGGGAATTTATAGATCATGCAGGGAATTTATAGATCATGTAGGTAATTTATAGTTAAGTAAGGAAATATTTACATAAGTGTAAATATATAAATATAGTAAGACTTCTAGATAGTTCTAATCTCTTATTATAATCCATTCATAGACAAATCCTCTACAGAAACAATTGTTGTCAAATGACTTATTTCGGATTAAAAATCTAAATAAATGATCTATTATATTTTAGAACAATAATAACTATTTGTTTATTTCAGATATCTGTGTATTATTTGAGTATATTGGAAGCAGAATTTAATTTCTAATGATATTTGTGTTGTTGTATTGACTTATAATACATGTATCGTCGTTGTCCATTACAGGTGTATTCACCAGGTGGTGATGATTATCCACAAGATTCCCCCAGATATACGTCTCCAAAACCAGGAATGTATGGAGATTATTTTATTGGTACCGGTAAGTATTTTCGTACTTATAAAATTACATTGCCAGTGAAATTTAATTACATCTTGCATTTCTGATGAATTTTTATACTTCTGCCATATTCTGTCAACAATTTTGTAATTTAATTGTTTTTCCAAAACGAGGAATTTTTCATAAGTAACGATCTGTAAGCAGATAGAATAAAGAAGTCTCTCAAAGGATATTTTTCATCCCTTGCAGGAAATTTAAATTGTATTTTTGTCTAGGATTAGAATTTTCTAAGTGCTTTCGGGATTTAAATTTTCAGCTTATTCCAATTCTTTTACTTTCAGATGCACCTCACAGTAGCTCCGACCCCTGGTCTTCAAATAATGCATTGCCTTCCTCGTCTTACCCCTCCACAATGCTGCCTAGCAGTACACATTACTCTCAGGCTTCATCTTATAATAATATGCACCATCCACATGACATGGTAAGTTCTTCTGCTTGATTTTATATTTTATTTCTTAGTGCTCTAGATCAATACATCACATTATTTATATTCAGAGAAAGAGTTAAAGGGACAGGTGTACCATTTGTTGGACCGATCATACCTTAGTCTCAGAAACGGGAATCTTTTGGCCAAGCTAGTCAGTAATCAGTTCACAGCTCACCTTTACAATTTGAGCCTTCAAATGAGTGTATGAACAGAATTATTCGCGTTTGAAAGTTATAATAACGACACTTTCTCTAGCATATATAGAAATAGAATGTTAAATTCCTAGTTTGAAAGAATTGTACGATTTTGGTATTTCTAGTATACTTTTGAAGACTGTTTACATAAATTCAAGACCTAAATCAACCCCTGAAAATGGCGCATCTGGTCGTGGAAGGACCTCTGTTAAAGTAACATGTTATAAAATCTTTGATTGTTGTTTCTGGCCATCTGGTTTATCTCCACATTATTTGTAATAAGTGAAAAGCTTATTCAATTTATGAAAATTACAAGTCAAAAAAACTAGTTCTTGAACATTGAACCAGTATACTCTACTTTGAAACTGTGAACAATTTTTGATTTTTATACAGCAGTCATCTGCATCTATTTGACCAAGTCATGTGATCTCAATATTTTTGATGTGTCACAATGCTATAAGACACTACAAGTCTAGAATATAAATAAAGAATATATACAGTATGAGATATATATATATATAAGTATAACAGTGATTATTACTGGCCGTCCGTAATGACCTACAGGAAATATAAATCATCACAAGTGATTACAGTGAAGGCTGCTGTTTTCTAATTAAATGAAGATATATTTTCTTGGGCAATGTGTTTTCTATCACTCTGGTCTTTACTCTACCTGCTGTGAGCAATGTGGTGAATGCATAAACTTACTCTTCCCAATTCCCTCCTACTTTTTAAGTATATTTCCATTTTTTGACTGAATTTTAGCTGAAAATTTTGTTATAAATTTTTTGGTTAAAATTTAATCAGACTTTGATTTGTGAACTTTTTACTTTTTCTTTGGTTAAAAATCAATATTATTCAGATTTTTGTCAATAATATATTTGTAAGTGTCTATTCATTCTCTCACATAATTCATGCATTTGAATGGATTGAATTTTTTGGAATCATAAATTTTATTTATTATAATTTATTATCTAAAACATATTGCAAGAAATTATTGTTTAGGAATCTTGTCCAAAAGCAGTAGAAATTTTCTCCCACTCATATTTGTCGTGAATCTGGAAATCATACAACTGAATTCATAAGATTTCAAGTTCTTTTTAAATATGTTTAGATTTTTCCTACATTTTATTATCAAAGACAAAAAAGTGAAAGTTGCATCTGGAAATGAGGCAACCACTATGATGATGATGTTTAACAGATGTAGACAACATTAATGTTAACAGACAGAGAATTTACTGAACAGACACTTTCCAGATTCCAAATAACAAGTGCACAGACAATAGTTTAAAGATTGAGCACCTGAGGCCCTGTCTACACTACATGTCCTTATTAATTGTCTTCTATTTTTAACTCTATTTCTATTTTCTTGAGATATTTTTCAAGTCCATGTACAGTCTGCTTGGCTGTATTAATGTACTTTAACAACAATTACTATTACCTTTAGACTACCACCAATTATATATATAATGAGCAATTACCTTTTACGAAATCAAGTCTTTTCTTAAATCACAGAAAGTCCCTTTATATTCTGGTTTGATTATAATGTGCTTTCACTGAATATAAAAAATTTTTCATATAAATTTATATATTCCAAACAATTACCTTGACACCTATATTCTGAGCAATTATCTTTTTACATATCAATTGTTTTGTATTGATACAAATAATTACAAATATATTCTTAATTCACAGATAGTCCATTTACAGTCTGCTGTGCTGTAGGAATGTACTTTAACTTAATGTAAATGTTTTTATATGAATTTGTCTGTTCCAAACAATTACAATTACCTCCTATCATACATAAATTCTGAGCAATTACCTTTTAAGATATCAAGTGTTCATTCTTTACTCTCACAAACTTCACTACTGCTCTTTCACGTTCACTTGAAACAAACTTGCTCTTTCACGTTCACTTCAAACAAAATTGCACTTTCACATTCACTTGAAACAGAATTGCACTTTCAAAAACTGTATTTATTTAAAAGATTATACTTGTTAGTTAAAATTAAAATGTAATTTTTTATGTTTAAGTATAGTTTTTTTGAGACTTGCTAAATTCTACCCACTTACCATTCAACTATTTTAATTTTTCAGGGTTATCCTCCAATTTCTCCAAATCAAGAATCAATGTTGTCCGGTCTTCCACCCATGTCCAGTTTTCGAGGTCAGACAATGCCCTCTACATCATCTCCGACAGTTAATGGATCTGAAATTATTGCCAATCGACCCAATCCTTCAAATACACAACAAACTGGGGATGCTTTAGGCAAAGCATTAGCATCTGTAAGTTGTTTTAATTGCATAATTTTTGAAAAAAAATTTAATGTATGTTCTTATGTTGAATTTTGATGAAATTTTGATGAGTATATGTAGATAAGAGTGAAGAAAGCATAAAGGATAAATTGCATCATGAGATTGCACACCTGCAGAATTGATAGTTCTTGACAGTGCATAGCACGATATAAAATTGGGTGCAAACTGCTATGATAGTCATAAGGTCACAATATTACTTTGTACAGACCAGCCCACATGCATTTATTTTGATTAATATCCCAAACTTTTAGAATCCACCCATATCCTATGTTCTAATTATCACATAGAGTATATATTTGAATATTGTATATTTAGATAGTGTCATTCTTGGCCATTCTCCAATCTGCTTTTACTTAGAGAAGTTTTTCGGGAATGTTATCCATTTCTAAAATATATAATAACAAGCATTCTAAACCTGGGAAAATATTGTTCTCCTTTCCCTCTCAAAATGACACGCGTTGGTCAAATGGTTGCTGTTAATGATATGACGACAATTTGGTCCTTCAATGAAACCCAGGTGATTTTGGCCAAAGCAGTAATTAGCCACAGGTGCATAACATGTGGATGTTTAGGGGGAAAATTCATAATATAAACATGATTCTGTGGGGTTAATAAAAAAGTTTGAATTGATGTATATAGACTGGTATGAAATATGAGAGGAACGATAATAGATGATAATTTAGTGAAGGTCTGATAAAATAGATATCATGGGAGCAACTATCATAGTTTATTGTCTTTGGTGAAAAGTTTTGCTGCCATTAAAACCCTTTGATCTTAAAAGAAATGGAAAATTGAATTAGAGATAGAATTATAATGCAACTTTTTTTATTACCCAAAAAATTTGAATACATTTTTTTTTTCAAATACTTCTAGTTACAAGGATATTTTTCAAATATTCCCTACTTTTGAGATGAAATGCATAATATGCATTGAATTTGAATGTTAAGCAGTTTTGTCCTTCTGAAACTTTGACCTCTATTCCATAGGAATTTTACAACAGAAATTCCACTATAGATTAGACTTTATATTAAAAAAAAAACTATATTGTGAGAATTACTTATTTGAGAAGATTACTATAATCTTAGTCTGTAGATTTATTCTTGGTAGGCATATCATCAGTTTTTATAATATTATATATCATAATCAGTCTGAATAAGCTGAATAAATCTTTGAATAAAGATAAATAATTAATATTATTTTTAGTTAAGCTTATTTTTAGAAAAGTCTTAACATGTTATATAGAACTAGAAACTATGGAATTTTGGAATTCCTGAATTTTTTCCTATTTTGAAAACAATGGCGTTAAAAATAGTTGGAACTATTTTTGAAATTCTATAACTGAACTGAATTCTTCTGTAAATTTATAAGGAGTATACAAAATTACCCTCGACAAAAAAACTTTAAAAACCATTGTATTCTATAATATATCAATAATTTTTTGTTATAAAATTCATGATCTATCATTGGGATTTCTGTACAACCAAATTTCTATCTTCTGCATATCCATCAAATAAATTGCAATAGATTTACGTAAATAAATTGATGTATATAAAAAGTTTGTATGAGGTAAATGATATATCATGCTAAATGTTATAAATAGCTCTCTGATCGTCAAAGAAATTCTAATCATTTTGGATTCTCTAGGTTATAATAGGAACAGTGTGAGGAAAAAGAATAATGATATTCTAGGTGTCATATCAACTTGCTTATTATATCCTCAAAATATCAGAATAGTCTGATATTCCAAGTTTTATTCGCCACCAAACTTGCTTCCGTCTGGGTGTACCAATGATCAGAATGTTAGTTTTGTCGCATTAGATACATTCTTGATGTGTATCTTTATATTGTCTTACTTATTCTTTATTAGAACACACAAATACATCTAGCTTGTATTACTTTATATCTAGTAAATTTGATGCCTAACAATTTTCTTTATTTCTTGCACAAATGCCACCCAAATTTCATTTAAGTACCCTCACACCTAAGCGATTACCAGTTGCAAATAAACAAAGTACCGTACACAACTCACAACTCAGTTGCCTGAGAGTTGTGTTTCAAACTCGACTGCTAGTCTTATTCCCAATACCCAATGGTTTGAATTAAGAAAATTGGTAACCATGAAAATATTTTTCTTTCTGAAAATTTTTTGGAAAACTTGTGACAATATGATCAATAGTTATTGTTAGAGAGATATTCAGTCAATACATTTCTTTTGCTTTGTATATTTTTAGATTTATTCAACGGAACACACAGGAAGTAATTATGGTGGATCTAATCCTTCTACACCTGTTTCATCACCTCCCCCTATGTCAGGTATGTTGAATGTTCATCCAAACTTCGCCAAATAGACTCATTTACATTCTAAAATCAAATTCAGTAAAAGCTGAAAGTCATTCTTGTGTTATGGTGAAGAGAAATTATACAAAAACATTACATAAAAGTTCCTAAAAGTGAAAAGAACATATTGTAATTTATACATGACTGTTCATTTAAAAGAACATATTGTAATTTATACATGACTGTGTAGTTACAAGAACATATTGTAATTTGTACATGACTGTGTATTTACAAGAACATATTGTAATTTGTACATGGCAGTGTATTTACAAGAACATATTGTAATTTGTACATGACTGTGTATTTACAAGAACATATTGTAATTTGTACATGACTGTGTATTTAAAAGAACATATTGTAATTTATACATGACTGTGTATTTAAAAGAACATATTGTAATTTATACATAATTGGTCATTTCTATGATATGTGATGTATTTGTTTTTTCTAGCTTCGTCCAACCAATGGCATCGCCCTACTAATCACAGTGCTACCTCCCATAATTTTGATGGTCATATACATCCAATGGTAAGTGCACAAACTCTATTTTCACCAATACTGTGTGCATTATGTTTGTTTTTAATGGCTGCAAATGGAAATCTTGGTGTTGGAAATTTTAAACTTTTAAATATGGCAGAGATCAAGGTTTTAGACAATAATTGGCTTAACTTCTACCATATGATTTTTAAAACAATTTGACAATAATAAATATACAGCTTTGAATAATGGTTGATAAAATTAAAGTGACAAGTTCATCATTTTTTTTGACCAATCATACTTTAGTCTCAGAAATAGAAATATTTTAGCCAATCGGTAATAGTGTTCACAGCTCACCATCAAAATTTGAGCCTTCAAATTCATGTGTGTTCAGATTTATCAGTATATGAAAATTAAAATGACAAGTCTTTTTATGAGATACTGAGAGAAAAGACATCTATAGAAATTAGAGATAATTTTGAAGGGATTATGTGGTTTTCTTAAATTTCTGGTACTTCTGAAGACTATATAACCCCCCAAAATGGTGCATCTGTCCCTTTAAGCAGAAATATTTATATTGGATAAAATTCAGCCCACGTACTACTTAGCATCAATTGTCAGTCTCTTAGAGAAGCAGATGAAAATTAAAACCTGAACAATCTTAACAAAGCACTGTTGATCTCTTTGGGGGAGGTAGTAACATGGTATCCAAAACAATGTAGATAATTTAAGCTGACTATTCAGACGGTGTTCAAATATTTAGGAATGAATTGTCTGTGTTTGAATAATTTTTTTTAATATGTTTTTCAATTGAAATAGATTTCTTTAAGGATATCTCTCTGTTTAAATTTAGAATTTGCTTGGAAGATATACAAAAAGAATATCAGTTTACTATGAATATTTCATTTAATATTCATGGAAATAATTAAATTTTTTAATTAAATTTAATTAAAAAAAAAAAAAAAAAAGTTGTAGTAAATTATTACAAATTGAATTAAGTGAATAAAATTAAATTCAAACCATTATTAGTACAAATTTAATATTGCCAATCATTTGACATTCTAGAAATTAATCGCAGAGACTTCCATTGCAGAGACTTCCCTTGCAGAGACTTCTATTTCAATTTTCTGTGTGACTTATTGCATGCTTTTATTATCACTAACCACTATGTTTCACAGCAGATGCACATTAGAATTCATGATATATAGAATAAGATGTGTTTGAGGATTAAAAAAACAACAATTAGAATGGAAATTGCAAGATTTGCAACTTGTTTGGTTACTTTTGTTTGATTAATCAATTAATTAGTCAATTAATCCATACAAACACTTCTTACGCCATTTGTTATTTGAACCATATCCTCTGAGTATATGTGGTTTCTAATTGGTCATTCTTTTCTGTTGTGCATTATCAATAGCCTGTCTTACTGCCTACCAGTCAACCTATGGAACGGTTAAATGACGCCATTCATATGTTACAGGATAATACAACTGAGGTAACCAGTTTATGGTGTAACCTTTACTCTACATATAATCATTTTTTCATTATCATTTATATCAATCATAATCATGTTCATTTATTCATGATCATACCTAAAATCATTTTCATTTATTCATAATCATTCATTTCAGACAATTTTCATTTATATCAATCATAATCACACTTATAATCATGTTCATTTATTCATGATCATACTTAAAATCATTTTCATTTATTCATAATCATTCATTTCAGACAATTATCATTTATATCAATCATAATCACACTTATAATCATGTTCATTTATTCATAAGCATTTATTCCCAACCATTATCATTTTTTCATGATCATTCTTTTCTAACCATGATCTTTTATTCATGATCATTTATATCGTACCATTATCATTAATCTTAGATCCTAATTTAATTATATAATTATTCATGTTCATTTATCCATGATCACTAACATGTATTCAGTTATCATTTATTCATAAATCATTATTTATTCATCAATCATTGATTATTCAAAATCCTCCTGATCCTGATAAAAAATGTATTTATTCCACATAAACTTCCTAATTCAGATTATAGCTCTTTTTTTTACCAGTATACTCTTTCTACCTTTATTTCTGATGGATAATAATAACAATTTATATTACTGTTTAAAAGCATGAAATGAAACCCCCTTTAGTTTAGTTCCTTTATCAGACCTATTTTCCTTCCAAAAACCCAAGTTGTAGCCTAAACCTACACAAGTATTACTTGTAATCCTAATGTGTATATTATAGATAGATCTAGATATTAATCCCAAATGTTCATAGATTTAATGTAAATAACCCATTTGTGATAGATCGCATGATTGTGTACATATTTATCTCTGCATCCAAATCATGTATTTTGAGCACAATGTTTTAATAGAAATGATCACTATAGTATTAACATCACGTTAATATTCATTAATATGTCTTTTGATATATATTTATATTGTATTTGATTCTGTATATTTTCAGGCTAGAACGGAAGATCGATTAGAGGATGCTATTCATGTGTTACGAAATCATGCAGAAGGTCAATTAACAGGTTTACAACATCCGGGACTTCCACCACCCATGATGCCACCAACACATTCCAACGGCATGATGCCTCCTATTGGCCCATATTCAGGCATGTTGGGAAGTCATATGGATTCACATATGGTTAGTATCAATTTGAATATTTCACAGTTATTTTTCTTTCCAGATACACGTCCAATTCAAGTTTAAACAAATACAAATGCAACAATGAAACCAAAACATAAATATTTGTTTTTAAAATAATGCACACCAGTATGAAAATAAACATTTCAAAACCAGTAGTTGGGACTCTCCAAGCCTTATTCTTTTTAAATTTTCATGGAAAAATATTTAACAGTTTTGCAACAAACCATATCCATTTGTATAAATTACAAACTTACCACAATAAAAAAATATCTTAGAAGATCTCCAGCAACATCATGTTCTAAGGCTTTAATCTCAAAAACTGAAGATGATTTTAATGTTCCAGGCATCTTATTGGTCAATCACTCAATATTTTAATTTAGGTCTATTATCCAATCAGATTACTACATTTCTTAAATTCTGGATTTAATCTTGGTTAAGTTGTACGAGGATAAGGTTCCCGAAATCACATATATACAAAACCTACACATTGCATATATATACATGTACAGCATTTTTTAAATTATATATTTTTTCTTGGTTAGGTTTTTGAGGATAAAGTTACAGAATACATATATATATATACAAAACCTATATAAAGCATATTTACCGTATGCATAACTTTTATACATAAATTTATGCTGTCATAATGAAAATTTACAATAATGATCCATTATTATGGTGCACCTTTCACAACCAGTAGTTAACATAACACATTACCAATAGTCAATGTACAAGTCCATCACGCCTGACAGTAACAAGACAAGGTGCAGTAACTAATCCATAACTAATGACACAATGAAGAGGTAACTAATGGTGTTAGTTGTTAGTGACTGACAGGTAATAAAAACCTACTGGATTAGTATGGTGTATAGGTATGGTAAGTTTGTAGAACAGATGGACCGGTATTTACTCCACAAACCACAGTGACAGATCTGGCACCTCAATCTTTACACCTGTTACTGTCATTCTGGCAACTCTGATAAATCATCACACACACCTTGTCTGACTTGCCACTAGTCTCTGCTGTTACTACATCACAATTAATTAACTGTCAACTTTCACTTTATCTTTTCTATTAATCTTCATTAATTCTTATTTCTTGTTTCAAGGTGAAGAACTTCTTTACCAAAACTAATAGATGGTTTGATGATGATCTTTATTACCTACAGAGTTTTTCTCATTTATCTTGATCATTTGTGTTATTTCCAGCATTTTGAGGAGCCCCTAATTATCTCATATCTAAAGGAATTCTAAACTGGTCCGCCACTCTATCTTAAACTTTCCACTCCATCTTAAAGCTTCCAACTCCATCTTAAAGCTTCTCACTCTGTCTTGAAGCTTCCAACTCCATCTTAAAGCTTCCAACTCCATCTTAAAGCTTCTCACTCTGTCTTGAAGCTTCCAACTCCATCTTAAAGCTTCCCTAAAGCTTTCAACTCCATCTAAAAGCTTCCCACTCCATATTTTAAGCATCCCACTCTGGACATCGCTCCCAATGTGAAGCTACCCATTCCAGCTTAAGGTTTTCCATGTAGGAAGTTTGAAGCTAATATCACGGTGGCATCAATTGAACAGTATCAATTTCCATGATGCAATTGTCTCACCTTAATTAAATACTTAAAACACACAAACCAAAAGATGACCTCAGGACTCGAGCCGTATCTGTTGTTTGTGTACATTTCGCCATTTTACATATCTTCTGCATCAATTGCATATGACCTGTATTGTTAGACAATTAAATTCTGGTGAAGTAAATGAAGATATATATAATTTTTAGAAAAAATTTGGCATGGAGTAATATAGATTATGACGTAGATACTCTGAAATAAATCACACATACAATGACGAGCAGACGGC